ATCTTATTTATATTATTTATAACTTAACTTGTTTTATTCAACGACCCGTCTATCGCCAATTGTCATCATAGCCAACCAACTCCGTCTCACTTGGATATACCTAGTAACCAACTGTACTAGGATTCAGGTCAGACGTATTGTACAGTACATATAACTTATATTTACTGAACATCTAAAATATAACTTTACTTTGTCGTTGACATAAAACAATAGTCTAATTTTATTTAATAATCTATCCCCTGTAACTAAGGTACACGATTGCCTGTGTCTCCTTCAGGCAATTAAAACTCATTTAAGGAGATAGGGACGATATTTGGGCAGACTTCTGCCCAAATCTATCTCATCGAAGAAGAAATTACCCTCAAAAATAACCCTCGTTTACCGTAAATGGGGGAAATCCCCCAAAAAATACAAATTAAAAAATCGCTAATTTTTTAAATTTTTTAAATTTTTTTTACTTAAAACTGCCATAACTTTTTTAAAAGTGATCAAATCAAGAATTTTTTTTTATAGATGCATGATGTCTTTACCTGCAACAACTATCGTGGGATAGTCCTCTTAAATGTGGCTTATAAAAATTTTTCCAATTGTCTGTTATCAAGAATAAATGAAAAGTCGGAACAAGTTATTGGCAATTACAAATGTGGTTTTACAGGTCGACCTACAGGTAGTAGGAAGACAAGACACCGTAAGACTATATCCAACTCTTAACATCAATAACCGAAATTTCAAAAGAACTAAACAATTCAAGTACCTAGGGTCAATACTTTCAGAGAGAAATGAAATCGAATTAGAAATAGGGGCAAGAATTCAGTCAGGAAATAAATGCCTCTATGGTCTTGCATAATTACTGGGATCAAAATCACTTTCAAAGGATTTAAAAATACAATTATACATTACATTAATACGACCTGTTATTACTTATGGAGCTGAGATATGGCCATTAAGGAAAAGTGATGAAAGAATACTCTTGATTCTGGAAAGAAAAATACTGCGAAAGATTTTTGGTCTAGTAAAGGACATGCTAAGCGGTGAGTGGAGAATAAGAAAAAACGATGAATTAGAAACGCTCTTCCACAAATTTAGTATATTTGAACAATAAAGGACAAAAGACTGCTATGGACTGGGCATGCGTGGCGTAGCCAAAACCCACTCATACGCAAAGTATTAGAAGCAAACCCTACTGAGAAATGACCGCTGGGAAGACCACGTTTGAAATGGGAGGACGTAGTAAGAAATGATGTGAAAGCGTTAGGAGGAGGGGTAGATTGGAGGATACAGGCATCGGATAAAGAAATTTGGAGGTAAGGATGTATGTGGGTATGGTCTTAGTGGCTGGGTATACCAAAGAAGAAGATGTCTTTACTTATCATTAGTATATATATTTTTTTATAAATCTGACCCTTTATCTGCACACAGGGGGGATTCAAAATGACAACTATTTTACAAAAAATTAACTTTTAAAAGTGTTCCGGAAATACTTTGTCCTTTACACATATATCAAATTAAAGCTTGTGTCATTTACTATAAAATTTTACATTTTTGAACTTTATGTTACTATAACTTTTTAAAAATTGTATAGATCAATACTATTTTTTTATAATAAATTATATATATATATACCTACTTTCATTCGATATACTTCTTGTTTAAATCAGACTATTTCCCTATATACAAGGGGATGTTCAAATCTTTAAAAATGTGTATAGAAAGTAGTTATTTTTCAACTTAATTTTTGAATGTGTTATAAAAATACTGACACTTTTATATAAATCATAAATTAAAGCTAATGTAATATAATTTATTATGGAAAAAAAATATCGGTCTTTATTTTGTTATCACGAAGAAAATGGATATCAAACTTAATAAAAAAATACGATTTTTAGAAAATAATTCTTTTTTAGATTCTTTTTTCTATTTTTAATTTTATAATGCTATATCTTTTTGAAAAATGTATGGATCATTATAATTTTTTTAAGATAAGTATTATTTATATTTTTCTTTTATGCAATATGCTTTTCTTTTTTTCAACCAGACCATTTTCCTTTATATATTATAAATAAATATATATATTCATATATTATACTTATGAATCAAATAACATGTAATCAGAATATAAATAAGGAAAGCTTTTGGAATAATCCACCAGTTTTTTAAAATTAAACACTATCTAGAGATTTGCGTCGAAAAGTTTTTCATGATAGTGATTTTAATCACTGTCAGATATCATTTATATTGGACTCAACTATGCCTTAACTCACTGTGCTGGGTTTTTTTTTATATTAATTATAACTTGAAACATTTACCAACATTTCTATGTAATAATTATATAACTTGTTATGAAAATGTTATTTATAAATAATAATTTAATATTTATGAATATTTACCCGGGATTCATTGTTATAAAAATAGAACAAGTAGTATTTAATGTTAACTCAATGCCTTCAAAAATAAATTTTTCAGCTCTTGCTCTTACTGCCATTTGGATTGTCAGAACTTGTTGTGCAATAACTGATAATACTTCAAGTTCAATTCGATTAAATTCATCAAAGCATGCCCAAGCTCCAGACTGGGCTAAACCCTGTAAGATATTATAACTGTTTTAACTTTAAAAATCTACGGCCTTTCAAATTATATCATAAATTATTACTAATTGATTTATTGTTGAATAAGTGTAACAGAGAGCAGAATGCTTAAATGGGTAAGTGAAGTGATTGGTTTGGTCATGTTATAAGGAGAGAGGAATCGGAAGCTAAGAGAACAGTTATTGGAATGAATAATGAAAGAAGAGAGGTAGATGAAGACCATAAAAGAGATGGAGGTATGTTATGGAATGATATATGAGGAAAGCCGATGTGTGCGTATATTATGTGGAAGTTTAGGTTAAGGGAGATCGACCTCAAGTCTCATTGCGCTGTGCTACACTGTTGCCTAGATCGGGCTCTACGGTGCTACGAAACAATGGTACGATTGCAATTTCCCTAGCTCGGAGAATTGGGTACGTCCTCAGTTGCGGATAGAGGAACAGCCTGCAAATATGCAGGGTAGCCGTGAAATAAGCAGCTCACTTATCAGGACTGACGAATAAGTGAATAGCGGACAGTAAACCGCTCAAACGTTATCTACATGGTAGTGTGAAATAAGCCTATATGGACGAATAAGTGGTAGCATTTGAGTGTGAACGGAGTTAAATTGTCACACAACCTGAGAAGTTAGCTACTCACTGCCCGGAGGGATTGGCTACGAGGGCAGCCCCCTCACAAGCATAGTATATGAGCAATGAAGAAAAACAGTGCGAAAGTTACTGCATCAGGAGATTTGGATGCTCTGTCGGCTGAAAATCCTGGGAGACAAGGGTGCCTAGAACACGGGCAACCGTGCGGCTCAACGGGCTCAAAAAGTTATGAATAACCTTGCAAGACTTATGCCCAATAGGAAGAACCGTGGGAGATTCGGTGCAGAATTCTAGCAGGATCATACACTCGGTTCTGCTGTACGGGTCACCGGTTCGGTCGTATATTCTCGAGTATTCGGCCAAGAACCGCAAAAACCTGCTCAGGGAGCAAAGGCGAGCGGCGTTCCGGACCGTTTCGGCGTACTACACGATGTTCGGAATTTTGGATTGAAATAATCATATCTTAACTGAGACAATTTTTGATTAAGAGTATTTTATTTTTCTGAGGTTTTAATAAATATAAATTACCTAAAGAAATCTCTTCCTAGAAGTATAAACGAATAATTTCATTTCTAACATTAATAATAATTTGTACGTATACGTACCATAAAAAATTTTCCCATCGACTGAAAATCAAGACCTTCTGAACAATTAAAAACAATGCATTGTTTAGCAATAGCTTTGGCCAAATCTTTGGTAGTTTCCGTTTTTCCTGTACCAGCCGGACCTTCGGGAGCTCCTCCAAGGTTTAATTTTAATGCGCCCATTAATGTTCTATATTTGACGAAGAATGTAATAGATATCATAAATATATATATTAAAATATACTCAGTGATGAATTTTGGATGATATACAAATTTTCTCAGAAACTAAAAATAATTTAATTAAAAAAACTATATAATATTGTGATTTAAATGTTTCCACTCCATCAGGGATAAAAACCTCAACATATTGTTATTTCATTATTTATTAACATTACAAACATTTTACATTGAACAGTTTATGAATATTCAATAACGCATTGGTCGTTTATTCAACTCAAGATTATTATAGTACGCCAAACTCAACCCAACTGCATATTAAAGTATATTCTTCTTCTTCATCTTCCTTACCTTAACCCCAACTACTTGAGATCGGACACCCTTATCCTAATGTTCCACTAGACACGATCTCCCACATCAGCTGTCCTCAAATCGCATTCAATAGCATCCCTACATCTCTTTTTGGTCATCCTCTACCTCTTATTTCTTCAACATTCATTTCTATAACTGTTCTTACAGCTTCCGATTCTCTCCTCATAACATGATCAAACCATCTAAGTCTATTTTCTCTCATCTTATCCACATTTGATGCTACGCCTATACTCCCTCTTATATGCTCGTTCCTTATCCTATCTTTTCTAGTCACTCCACTCATCCATCTAAGCATTTTCATCTCTGCTACACTCATTATCTGCTTTACTTTCTTATCAACCGCTCAACACTCTGAACTATACATCATAGCTGGCCTTATTACAGTCTTGTAGAATTTACCTTTCAGCCTCATTGGAATTATTTTATCTCATAAGACACCATACGCTTCTCTCCACTTCAACCACTCGCGCTTAATCCTGTATCTTACATCCTCGTCAATACCACCGCACTTTTTCACAACTGATCCTGAATATTTAAAACTTTCCACCTCTCCAATCACGTCCTCGTCTATTGTTACTGATCTTCTCATTTCACCTCGTGTTATTATTATTTAATATAATATGTTATTATTGTTTAATATCGTCAATATTAAATAATCAGTGTATTTTTTAACGTTCTGGATATTTTTAACATTTTTTTACATTGAAATAGCCATAATAATGGGAATGTTATAAAAAACAATTAAAAAATATAGCATAAAGAATAAACCCTGAAAATTTAAGAAAAAAATGAGGTTGTCGTGCAACCATTTCTGGACGATTTACTTAACATGGATTGACCCTTGTTTTATATAGTTCATAGAATTAAATAATATTTATTTTCTAGAAAAATAAATATCTTATCCAGTGACAGTAAAATTATTTTAACATAGAAGGGGATGAAAAACTGTAATGATAAAAACCATCATACACGGCTTAGCCTCAAAGATGTTTATTTGTATTACATAATTAAAATTATGAACTATTACATATGCGTAATTGGCTTTCTTTTTTTAGTCTGTTTCAATTTAATTTATTTTGAAAAGCAGTCCGTTGAATTTATTTACGTATAAATAATAACGAAAGCTTAAAATTTAATATTCTAAGTTTTAAGATTATAAGGATTAGTGGGGTTAATAATTGTTTTACATAAATTACTCTTAATAATTTATCATATATAAAGTTTTTAAAATATAAAATATATATATAATATATATTGTACAAAAATAACAAAAAAGGTAATTTTTTTGATGGAACCTATACCCTAATACCATTCCATTTTACAGCCACTGGTCTTAACTAAAATCGATCACTGTGTATTATTTTTAGATTTTTGCTATTTTACCTATAACATCGATCAGTTAATGGTGTTATAACAAGTCTTGGCGAATTCCCTAAATATTCACAACCATAATCAAGTGTAGTACTAATCATTGATACAGTTGTCTTGAAGTCTTTATTATAGTAACGTAATTGACTTATCCAATTAAAATCATGTATATTATTTACATTGAAGCTAATTAAATTTTTCAATACATCTCTAGCTGTAAATTATAATTAAATGAAATTTATTAAGATATACCTGGGCAAGTTGTATACATTCAAGATTTGGAAATCCATAATGTTAAAAAAATAACCGAGCACAGTGGGGACGTGTCATAGTTAGGTCTAGTATAGATGATATCTGACAGTGATTAAAATCACTATCATAAGAAACGCTTCGATACAAATCTGTAGATAATATTTAATTATAAGAAACTGGTTGATTATTCTTAAAGCAAAATTAACTTCTATTTCTATTATTATTCCTAATTAGTAGTTGATTTATAAGTATAATTTATGAATAAATAATAAAATATGGTATTGTTAAAATTAATATGCAATCAGGAAATTTTATAATTACTATTTATAGTAATTTTTTTATTTCATTCATAGTTAAATTCAAGTGAAACTAAAAATCATTTTTTTTTTAGATTTATGATAAATAAATAGAGTAAAAAAATTAATAAGTTTAAAAGTAAAATTATATAATATCAAATCTAATTCGACAATATACTTTTAAAATATTAGAAATGAACGATTTTAATTGTTTATATGGAAAAAGCTGGTTGAGCTACTTCTTATTTGATTAAGGGTTTTTTTTTCAATTTTTGAGGGTAATATCTTTAACTAAAAACGAATTGTAATCATTTGACGTATCGTTGAAAAAAGTAGGTCAAGTGAGGGCTGGCAAAATAAATCATAGCCACAAAAAAAAAACCACAAAGTAAAATAAAATTAACATGAATAATAAATTTCTTCCCACGAGGGGAGACTATAGTGATGGGATCCTTGATATTTATTGAAGTTATTGAATCTAAATGAGATAAAAATCAAAAGATTTGAAAATTTTTTTCTAACTCAAAAAAAATGCAAAATATAAATTATCAAAGTCGTATTCGAACCTCGTACCCTATGCGTGAAAGACACAAGTGTTACCAATTCGGCAACTGTTCGTCGCATGATTAAATTAGCAATTTAAGCTAAGTCAAATTTAAAAGTTACTTTTTCAACTTTAAAAATGTAAAAAAATTTTAATAAGTTTAATTTTTTATGTTTTGTGAACTTTATTCTATTTCAATTAAATTATATAATATTTATAAAATTCAGTGTATAATAAGATATTTTAAAATAAAATAAAATACAAAACCAAGGATTTTAACACAAAAATAGCATATTTTTGAATTTGGTAGCCATTTGCGCATAGAAGATAGGTCGTCGAAACAATTTTTNATTTTTTAAAAAGTTATAGCACTTTAAAGTAAAAAATGTAAATTATAAAATCGAAAATTTTCACACAAAAATAGCATTCGGTAGCCGTTTTCACCATGAAGACAAGTCCAGAGGTCAAATTTTTTTTTTCTATAATAATATGTATATTGCATTATTTAATTTAAGATATGTATAAAAGTGTCAGACCTTCCGGAACACTTTCAAATGTTAAGTTGAAAAAGTTCTACTTTCTATATACATACTCAGATTTGAACCCCTCCCCATATATAGAGAAATAGTCTGATTTAAAAAAAAGTATGTCAAATGAAAGATGTATATAAATACTACTTCTCATGAAAAAATTGTATTGATCCATACATTTTTTAAAAAGTTATAGCACTTTAAAGTATAGAATGTAAAATATAAAATCGAGAATTTTCATACAAAAATAGCATTCGGTAGCCATTTTCACCATGAAGACAAGTACAAAGGTCAAAATTTTTTTTTCAAATTAAAGTATATTACATTAGCTTTAATTTAAGATATATATAAAAGTGTCAGACCTTCCGGAACACTTTCAAATGTTAAGTTGAAAAAGTTCTACTTTCTATATACATATTCAGATTTGAACCCCTCCCCATATATAGAGAAATAGTCTGATTTAAAAAAAAGTATGTCAAATGAAAGATGTATATAAATACTACTTCTCATGAAAAAATTGTATTGATCCATACATTTTTTAAAAAGTTATAGCATTTTAAAGTATAGAATGTAAAATATAAAATCGAGAATTTTCATACAAAAATAGCATTCGGTAGCCATTTTCACCATGAAGACAAAATATAGTCAGAAATTTTTTTTTTTTCATAACATAGTACATTACATTAGCTTTAATTTAAGATATATATATATATATAAGTGTTAGACTTTCCGGAACACTTTCAAAAGTTAAGTTGAAAAAGTAAGTTTTTGTAAAAGAGTTGTTATTTTAAATCCCCCTGTGAGCAGAATAATTGTTAGATTTTCAAAAAAAAAAAATAATATCAAATGAAAGGGAAATATCTAAGGTTTTAGTATAAAAAAAAGTTAAGTTGATTTGTTGATTTTTGAAAAAGTTATGGAAGTTAAAAAAAAAAAAGTGAAAAATATGACAAAATTTACCGATTTTTAAATTTGTAATTTTTTTGGAAATTTCCCCCATTTTCGGGGAATGAGGGAAAATTTTTCAATTTTCAAGGATAATGTCTTCAACTTGATACGATTTGTGATCTTTTGACGCATTATTGAAAGAAATCGGTTCAGTGAGAGCTGAGAAAAATTTACACGTTATTTTTAATATAAATAATATTGCTTTCAAATTGCTATTAAGTATGATATATAAATTTTTATATTTCTAAATAATGACTGAATGTGTTTAGGTATAATAATATAATATTAAAAATTGCACTTTCTTGCAAAATTGCACATTGCAACGATTACAATAAATATTGTAATCGTTATCAATGTGTTAAAGCTCTCATGGATTGTCTTGTTGCTTGAAATGCTTGAGGATATATTCATGTTTGCAGTTGAGTTCTGACGTTTCAGACTCATTGTAGAGTTCATCACTCTGTAATGAGTCCGAAACGTCAGAACTCAACTGCAAATTTTGTAATTGTATTATTTTTTTTTCCAACGCCTAAACAGGCAATATTCAAAAAACATTAAAAGTTTAGTTTAAATTTATACAACAAAAGATTATTACTATATACAATATAAATTATTTTGATAAACGCAATGAAATACTATAAATTAAAAATATAACAGGTATTGACTAAACTCATTAAATCGCCTTAATATTCTATGGAGAAAGTGGTTTTGACTTTATGGGATAGGATGAAGGGGAAGTTGGAGAGGGGAATGGTTTCTTGTGTTATTGGAAGGGACTCGGAAGGATATTTTGGAAAGAAGTTCAGGAGAATCAATGAAACCATTGAGAAGGGTTTTTATAAATGAGATGTAAATATCCTAGTTCAGCGGTGGCTGTTGTCGGAGACGGACGTGTTTGACGACGCTCTGTGGCTATTGTTTGATTTTTTGCGTTTTTCTTGGTTGTTATTGTTGCGTTTTTAATATTTTAATATATCATTATAGTGTAAAAAGTGCGCGATCGGCAGGTGTCGTTTTAGAGTCTGTCCGATTAATATTGACCATTTTACGCCAAATTGAAGTTATTCGTATTACACGACACACGTAAGTTATAGTTGTAAAACACGTGGTTTTTTCTTATAGAGCGTTAGAGCAGTCGAACGGCCACAACAAATGTGTGCCGCTTGGCATCCATTTTTATGTGGAAGTGTTAGTTGTACCATTTCGAGGTAAGACCTGGTGGTACAACTTTGCGGCGTTCGCTATAACGTCCGCGGTTTAGTTTGGTAAATCTCTGGACTTAGAAGTTTTTTCACCATTTCCCCACCCCCCGGAAACTTTGAAAATGCCTGGCACGTTCAATAACTGGCGGATCGGCGTCGGACCAGTGGCGATCGTCTAGTGGGGTGCGTGCAAATTACCATCAGAAAGTGGTTTTTTGACCCCCCCCCACTTCAGTTTTTTGAGATAGCTCTATCTCGGTGGGTTTTTGTGATAGGAAGCTGGTTCTTTCGGGAATAATTTTGGTTTCTTATTCTCTAAGTGGTACGTCATCACTCTAGGTATCTAAAATCCCTTCCTAGGGATTTTCATAATTTTTGGACCGTTTGACTCCAAATTTCATTTTTGAATCAAATTAGGTATAACNTAGGTATCTAAAATCCCTTCCTAGGGATTTTCATAATTTTTGGACCGTTTGACTCCAAATTTCATTTTTGAATCAAATTAGGTGTTATACCTAACGGTTGTTATAACCGTTTGCTGCGAAATTGGCAGCACCGGTGCATATGGATAACCGTATTGTGCAGACTACTACGGTGTCGGGGATGCCTTCGGATTCTCTGACTGCCGGAAGTAGTGTGGCTTCGGGACCCCAGGTGCAGGAGGGACAAGATGTATTACCTCAGGAACAAGGGACCCTTATCGTGAAGCTGGAGGAGTCAGCAGCTACCAGAAATAGGATTAGATCTGCGGACAGTCTTGACAGCGAAACGTTGGAGTATACCTTCAAGCTGTTGGAAGACCTGGAGAAGTCCACTAAAGAGGAGTTAGCTAGAAATCGCCGGCTGGTAGGAATGTACATACTACGGTGAAGACTTTAATTGGGGATGCTGACAGAATTTTTAAAAAGGTTAAAGAAGTCAAAGACCTTGCTGAAAGGACCAGAGGGACATGACAACGGAAGATAACGGAGGGGTTAGACAGGATGGTAATACAAGGAGGCAATGGGGAGACAATTGGTGTGGAAGAGAAACTTGACAGCATACTGGAGGCAATCGGTGAAGTTAAACAGGAAGTATTGGAACGTGAGTTACCCATACGCGTGGGCGAACCAGTGGGGTTCAGTACAGCGAAAAGGAATGATGTAATGGGGAAAGTAGAGGAGACGAAAAGAGCTCCTATCAAGAGACCTGAAACATCTATGGCTCAAGAAGGAATCAGCGCCTGGGTCGAAGTGGCTAGTAGAAATGTGCGAAGGAATGCAATTGCGAAGAAGAAACCACCGGCCATTATGGTCAAAACCGATAAGGTGTCATATGTGGACGTGTTAAAGAAGATTAGGTCAGAGACCTCGATGAAGGATTATGCCACAACATCACGGCGGTGCGCAGGACGGAGGCTGGCCACCTTTTCCTGGAGGTTGACAGAAAATGTGGTACTGTAG